TTTCCACTCAGGGAATATGATGTTCTACAAGCTTTGGGACAGCTGAGATTCATTTAAAGGCATTTCAGGTACATTAGATGAGCAAAACGGTTAGAGAAATGCTTCAGTGAGAGTCCTGGAACGCCAAATCTGCATTCCCTGGTCCCTGGTTGAGGATGTTTTGACCTACCTTCAACGTCAAGAATAGGCCAAACCAGACCGTTGGCTCTGAATGCTTTTAGTGCCAGTTGAGAGCTAGGTGTGAACTCTTCCCCCGTCCCCCCCTCCAACATGCCCACCCCACCCAACTAATACAACGTAGTTTGTTGAAGGAAGTAGGGGAAAACGAGGAAAAGAGGGAGAATTCGAACTGCAAAGGAAACACCAGGTTCCCTAGCTGTTGACTTGCCAAGGCTGCCACAATTATAAGCACATGGCTTCTGCTGACTTCCCTGCCCCAAATCCAGGAATAAGCAAACAAAGCCACTACAAAAGCTTCATTCACAAGAGCTGGCCCTTGCTGAGAGCCAAGTTAATCTTTTCTGATGCACCAAGAGTCTCATTTATATTACAAAGCCTGTTTTGCAAGTACCAGAATTGGACACTTGTACAGCCACTGAGGACCCAGTCCCAAAGTCCTAGAGCTTTGCCTGAATAAGGACTGCAGGATTTTCTAGGCTCTGAGAGAACTGCAACCACCATGCGCTTGCTAAACCTCACATTATTTGATGGATTGCTTTTTGGTGCAATATAATTAATGGACCTTTTCACTGCTATCCCCCCACATACATCACAGACGTGCCTGCTTACTCCCAGAGCCAGTCTGGAAAGAGCTTAAGCTTCCTCCTCCTCCTTTTAAACCAAATGTCAGCTCCCAGCAAGGCAGAGGCTTCTTGCCAAGACAGAACAACCTGACAGCGGTGAGAAAAATCCATTCTCCCTTTTTGTTGCTTGATACCTGTTCGGGGCTTCTAATACACACCTGGCAAAGCAAACTGGCATGACGCCAAATCCATCTTTACTCAGCCAACCCATTTAAAGCTTGGTCATTGAAGATAAAATCATCATTATGGGGGCCTGGAAGAAAATCTTACTAACTGTACAAAAGACATCCAGTGTCTCATCCCTTTGTCCTCAAGACATCAATAGTATAAAACTGTAAACTATTTAATTAGGTTTTCCTTTTGGTTATGTAAAGTTTAGTTTTTTCAGGTGTTGTTTTCCATATGTACTGCAGAAGACGATTTCGTTTGGAAATATCATTGGTAGGGTGTCCAGGTTCTAGGATTTTAGCCAATTTTTTTTTCTTCTTTGTTAGGGACAAAATGTTGGTTCAGTTAGAGCTGAAAAAGAGAAGCCAGGGATTCTGCTTTCTTTTCCTGGTGCTGCTAATGTCTCAGTTCATGACTTTCTCATGGCTCTACCTCCCTTGAAGGTATCTGTCTCTCAATTAAGCAGTCTTTCTTCTATATGAAACCCCAAACCCAAGCTAGCATCACCTGACCCAACCAACTGGAAACAGATAACCTGGACTTCCAGCAGGTCCAACCTCCCTTATGGTAGGCAGTGTACCTTAGTATTTCCCAGCATGCCCACAGCAGCACTATGGCAGGCTCGTTTTTATTTGTAAATAAATTTATTTGTAGCCCTTTTCTTTCCAAAACAAGATGCCTTACGTACAAAATGCATCGTTCTTGATTAATGCATTCACACTTTCGATAAGAATCCAGTTTTTAACTTCTAATTTAATAAAACCCAACCAGCAATGATGCAGTTACTGCTGTGACCATTGTGAGCTTAAAGCAGCTGCATGGTTATCGAGTCTTGCAAATTACATAACAATTATGTATGCTTACATTAAAATTACCTTGCAGTCTGTAGTTTGCCAGGCAACATTTTCTTTCAGTATGCATAAATGGTATACCTTTCTCTGTAATTACATAATAATTGCCATGCATTTACCCAGCAGTTGCAACCAAACACATTTCTTATTTAGTTTCAATGGCTAATAAAATAAATGCTTACCCAATAGCCTAAAATAAAATAGCTCATTGTTTCTGCTATTATTGTTGCTAGGACAGCCTATTATTTCTGCTGCCCTGTCTCCTCCTACCTTGCCTTGCCCACTTTTTTGTTTGTCATGTCTTGCCTTTTACTCTGTAAGCTCTCCTAAGCAGGAACTGTCATTTACTATGAGCACATTCAGTGCTTAGCACAATGGGGCCCAGTTCTCAGTCATCGTGTCTAAGTGCTACCATAAGATAAATGTTAATAATAACAAATCTTTCCACCCTAAAATCCTCTAGTGAAACAGCCTTGCTCCCAGTTCTCACACAAGCATGCAGCTCCCCCCTGACTTCCAGTGTTCAACACCAAATACAACAGGATGCTGCAGTGAGCCCTGTATTTGCAAACAGTGATTTCATTTTCATTCTGTGGCTAGAACTGCCCCTTCAGTCTCAGATGAAAGACAGAGCTAATGTTGCCTTTCACTGTACGAAGTGAATACAGCATTGTGAGCAACCTTTCTTATTTCTCAACAAGATCTGTTGCACTCGTTAGGGACTCTCACATTCCTGTCACCTTTTTAGATCTGGCAGCTCTCTTGTATGTGAGCCAAGCAAAACTTAAGGCTCTGCTCAGGCTACGCCATGTCTTTCTGTAATCCAATTAATCGAAGGCAGACATAGCTCTAAGTACATATTATAGGACAATACATTCATTCCCTTCAGACAGACACAGCTATGTCTCTGCTTTTCAAAACCACAGTCAGTGGAAGGGTGATAGCAAGGCTTTGCTTCAGTAACATAAACAGATTCTTTAAGGGTTGAGCTGGTGGAAAAATGTGACATATTAGACTAAGCAAGCAAATCAGGCTGCATTACAGTTGTGTCTCCCATTCAGCTTTTACAGATTTCACTGCAACACAGACCAATTCAGTCTGAGTGACAATATAACAATGTGAGCCAAAAGTAGCCTTCCTGAAGTCAATGGGGCTCTGAGTTGAATGACCGCCACAAAAAAACAGGTATCTAGGGTGAAATCCTAAGTGAAGTTAATGGGATTTTTGCCAGTGACTTCACTAGAGTCAGAATTTCACTGCTAGCCTCTAAAACACAACAATGGCTGGAGAGACTATTCAATCAATCAATCAATCACGTTCACTCCTGCAAAGCGATATGTAAAAGTAGCTATATGAATGTATTGTTTTAGCCTTTATTTAAGGTATATAAAACGTAGCTACACCATCTCAGCATCTGCAGTATTTCAGACATTCCTGCTGGTAAGAATGGGGAGGTTTAGGAGAATAAAACAGACAGAAGTAACTGTGCCACCTGCATGACGCAACCTGACGCATTTTGCAGTGCTACCATAGTATGCTAAGCAGCATGAGATTTTTCAATCAGTCTGGCATTCCCTGTGACAACAATGGTAGTATAAACTACAGCCACATTTAAAACAACAGGAGAAAGTCTGGCTTCCTCAGTTCTAAAAAAGAAAAGCTGCTTCAGGAAGCTGCTCCCCGCTGTAACTCATAGTGCTTCACAGAAAGCACCATGAGTTACAGGGACCTTCCTCCTCCCCCAACCCAAAAGGTATTTGCTGTTTGGTCAGGGCAGGGGCAGAGAGAAATCAAGCCTCACTTTCGAGCTGTGTTTCTGCCTCTTCTCTCCCAGCCCTGTCCCCGCCCCCAGTCCAGTGCTGTTGTCAGGATGGGAGGGGGAGAAAGCAGGGGAGGCAGCTCCATTCTGGGGTTTGCCCAGCTTGCCCTGGAGGGGGAGGGGGCAGATTGGAGCACCCTCCCCCTTCCCTTCCAGTGCAAAGTGGGCAAGCCCCAGAACAGACCTTCATCCCCTGCCTTCATCCCCCTCCCATCCTGATGACAGCACCAGATGCTCCCACAAAGGGACAAGCAGAAGTTAATAAAGGTGCTCTGCTTTGGAGCACCTTCATCTGAACCCTCATTAAATGAGTGTTGCAAGGCACTTGTAAAGTGCTCTTCAGCCATGCTCTTCTGTCAGGGCACAGCTCTCGAGTGCTTTCAAGGGCAGATCACGCAACAAATGTTACTTCTTTCAGGACCTTCAACGTGCACGCAACCACTTTTGAAAAGAGGTAAAACTATGATGTGTCTGTTAAAGCTGTGGTATGGATTCCCTGTGCTACCCCCAGGAAATGCCAAAAACCAAAACCCTGGGAGTGTCTCCAGGCTTGTGCCAAAAGACAAAATTGAATTCATTTCTTTAAAAAAAATTGCAAAAGACCATGAAGTAAAGAACAAAAAAAAGAGGTCAACTCCCAAGTAAGAAATTTATCTAACATGCTTGCACCACCAGCTGCTCTGGAAGGTAATGAGGTGGCATGTTCTCCACAGGCCTCAGCACTGAGTGATGAGTCACTGAAACGTGTTCCTGAGGGAGCAGACAAGGACAGATTCCCTCCAGTTGTCACTTGTTAGCTCTCCCCTCCCGCCCCCCCCATTTCTCCTCGCTCAGCTGGAAGCAACACAGGTTCACTTTAGCTGAAGCTAATCGACTTTCCTTCAGCAAATGCTGTTCCCAGCTTGAGCTAAGCTTTGCCCAGTTGAAATTATTAAAGTTTACAATTCCTATCTGAGAGAGTTTAGGAAACAGAACAAAAAAAAAAAAAAA